GTTTGTCCTTTAATGCCTGTCTGTTCACCACTCCTTAATGTTTCAGGCTTGTTAATACCTCAAGTCACGCAATAAAGCAAGACCATTGGTTAGTTGGAGGGGAAAAGTTGCTACATGAGGTCAGCCAATTGCTTCAATTGATGGGCAAATGGATCCAACTTTTTGGGTTTTTCTTTTTGTGTTCAAAAGACAATAGTGGCACACATTTTGCACTCAACAATGTCCCAAATAAACGTCAACTTTATCACTGTGGAGAGAAGTGAAAACCTAACCACGACAAAAATTTTAGCGTTTTGCATCCCCGTGAGGCGGGAACAGTCTAAGGCTTGCCTGTCCCAATCCCCTTAGTTGGTGAGTACACGGGGTGGAGATGAGAATGTGAGGGTTTAATGAGGTTAGAAGGGATTAATTTCATGCTACCAGCCAATGCCAACAAATCCGCCTCCTTTGGCTTTCGCCCACAAATTGCAGCATGCATCGCAATCTATTAGGTCAGTTAAGAAGTGGAATTGGAAAATTGGAGATTAGCAGATTAATGAGACCCCACCACCTCCACCACCATCACCGAATTGTTGATGCATTGACCGACGTTTTGACAAAGGCTTAATTTAGTCATCAAGTTGTTCCCTCCCTCTCTCTCTTCCTTGCATTTATTATTTAGCGAATTAAGGGGAATTTGGACGCTCAAACAGAACGCCTGGTCTCCATGAACCCACCGTTTGTTGCGCGATGGGTGAGGATTTACCCCTTTACCCAAGAAAGGCAGCCGGTCTGTTTGAAAGTGGAAATCCTAGGCTGCGGTGCCAGTGAGTTCACAATCCAATTACACAAATTGAATCATTCACCTAAGTAATTCGGTTTATACTCACCTGCCATGTTTGTCCAATTCGATTTGCCACCTTTCTTCACCCTTCCTCTCCTCCTCCTCCTCCTCCTCCTCCTCTCCTTCTTCTTTTTGTTCTTTTGTTTTGTTTTTGTGCCTTCGGGATTGTGAGTATTACCCTTACAACTGGCCATTTCCTGCCTTTCCAATTTCCGCTACTGTCATTATTACTATTGTTCTTACTGTTAAACCTCTCTTCCTCCCCTTACCGCCTCCTTCACTTTCTTTTCATTTAATACACAAAAAATAGCAATGTGAACACAAAAATTGCCCAAATAATAATAGTAAGTAATACGAACCCCTGCTTCACCGAAAGGCACTTTTTGTTTTGGTGCACAAATTCCCATCCATGACGGCGCAGGACATGTGGCGCCAATTATTTTGCCTTTCAGACGGGGTTGTTGAATACCAGGCTCCACGTGGAAATGTTGTAAGCAAAGCGCCAAAGGATCGTCTGGTGGATTTCACATATGACAATCCTGAAAGTCGACATTCCCATCAACTGCGAGAACTGCACCACGAGGTTTTTAATGCTGGAGGATTGGGTAAACTTGTGGATGGTAAACCAGATCTCGAAACCGATACTGAGTAAGTTGATTTGAAAAGTGGAGCCATTCAAGCGTGTGAAAAGTCAATGGCCTGAATGCATCCCTGTAGCCCATTGGAATCAAACGATTTTGTGGGATGGAAGCGATCTGAGGATGCTTCCGACACCAACACCTACGAACGCATTGTCTTTCGATTTGACGGCATCTACAATTTCACCAGTGTTAGCATGCTATTCGCCAATCACGTTGGCAGTGAAATTGCCCGACCTCGACTCGTTGAGGTGCGTCTGAGTCGAAAATTTCCACGCGCTAGTCTCACCGATCCCGCCACCACTTTTACGGCCACTCATCCGCTCCCAGTGCCTACAACCACCCTGCCAAAAACAGAGTGGGTTCATGTAAGTTTGTGGGGCAGCCTCACCGATGCCTTCACAAACGTCAGCCTAACTAGTAAATACTACAATGTGGCAAATTTTGTGGAACTGCGCGTCTACTATGCTGGACGTTGGATTGCCCTGGGTGAAGTGACCTTTCATAACGGTATGTGTCCAAGCGCAGACTTTAAACATCCTTGTATTTCCTTTTTTTCTTCGACTAATGCACCGTTTTATGTTTGCTTTATGTGAATCAGTTCGCGTGCGGATTCCTCCAGGAGTGGTGCTTGACAAAGGTTTGTTTTCACACCTCATTTTTATGTTTTGACATGCTCTTGCTCGCCTCCTCACCACACACACACAAGTTAAGTGCTCCACCACCACCAATGCGCACGTCAAAATCAATTATTCTTGTCAAATGTGCTAAACAAACCAACAAACAAAGTAAAATCTGCTCAAGCTCAACCAATCACAACCACCTTTTCACTGTCAAGTCGACAGATTTACATGCTACTGAACGGAAATGGAAGCATCAATACTCCTCCCAACCTGAACAACATACTGGAAGTCAAATTTTTTTGGCAGTACATTATCACACCAAATGCGGTTGATGTGGTGGGTTCACTGTAGTCGAGACAGATAGAGTGAGAGAGGAGAAAAATGCATGAGGATAGCGAGATTGGTGATACTTGTCGCTTATGAGAAGGCGTGTTGGGTGGTTTTAGCAATGCTAAACTTCAAAGTAGTTTGATGAGACTGTCCTCTTTGGTGTGGCCTGTTGAGGGAGCACTCGAGATTGGTTGAGTGGTTCCTTGCATGTAATTTGCCTAATCAGTAGACTGAAGGCAAATTCACTTCTTATCTCTCCTCCCAATCGTTGCTACTGCTGCCCAGCCTCCATCTGCGTAGTTGCGATACTAAATGTCAACTTTGAAGGGCTGATTAAATCGCATCTCTAACACACACAATGCGTTTGAAGGAGGCGAAGAAGAGCCTGACTTACTTTTATTCCCTTACTAGAGCCCGAGGAGGCATCAATGACACCGGTACCATCGCCTAGTGTGAATTCCAGTCTTGGTATCACCGGTTCTCAATATACCTTAGCTACAATGCAACCGCACACCTATGCACTGGTTGTTGGACTGGGTTGTCTAGCCACTGTTTTAATTATTCTCGTGCTTGCGCTCTTCCTCCATTGGCGTCGACGCGCCTTCATGTCGAAGCCGAAGATGGATGAGCTGAACCACTCCTTCCAACACCCCTTCACAATGCCCCTTATTAAGACAGCACCTCAACCAACCAACTCTGTCAATACAGATACAGATCAGAAATGGGAATTCTACAACAACAATAACAGCAACTCAAACGCTCTTCAAGTTCCCATGTACTTGAATGGTGACAATGCCGCCTACCCTCCTTCCAGTACCACGGTTATACCTCAATTTATCCTCCAACGACCCTCTATTGGTGTTCCCACTTCTCTCATGCTTCCAAACTACGTAAGAACACAAGTGCAGTCAAATCAGGCAACCGAAGTAAATTAGATCATTGTAGATGATGATGAGAAACAGTTTTGCTCCTAATGGAATCATTTTTGCAATTCAGTTGACATCACACGAACAGTCGTCAAAGAGTGGTGGAGATAAAGAGAGTCAAGCACCTGCATTCCCTTTCTTTCAATCTGCTGGCAGCCGCGTGACACCAGAGTCCAGTGCCCTGTATACCACTGTGTCGGAAAGTGACCCCTATGTAAACGGAACGCCCCGTCCCAACCAAATGTTACGCATTCCGCCCCCGCCATCGCTTCCGCTTCCACCGACCCCAACTCAACCGCACTCCGTGGCAGAACAGACACCTCCTCCATGGATGGGCGCGGGATTCAGCAGGGAACCGGACTACATACAACACCGGGAACTGAATGCCAATGGTGGTAGTGATTTGAACACCTTCTACCGATACTCTATTCCCTTGAATGGGGCCTTTCCCACAGCACCAGTGTATTCGGCTCCTATTTGGGTGGCTGGAAGTATGGATCCGGTTACAATCGGTCGTTTCTACAGTCAGCATCAGTCAGCCCCTCAAGACCAGCCAGCATTATCGCAGGAAACACCTGAACTAAATGGCGAGTCCATTTTGCTTTGACATTGTTGGTATGTAGAACAGCTGACATTGTAAAAGGGGAAGGTCAAGTGAAACGTACAAAGCCTGTGGTATAGTGCGAAATTTTAAATTGCAATTACCACTAATGTAGCCTTCTTTTTTCCACTATGACACAAAAAGCACTGCTTGGTGATGAATAATTGATGTACGTGAAATGAACACGCATTGAGCCAATTCCACTGGGAGAGGCGAGAGGAGCAACTTGCTGTCCCACTGCCTTCCCACTCCCCATCCTTCACCACCCCACTGCACTCTCTTTAAACATCTAAATTATTCATGCTGCCTCAAGCTCCAGAGACCCGATAAGAGGTCCAATACCTTGCCTCTTATCTACTCTCAATCCCAACAATTACTTTGTGTTACACTGGTGCTTTTTTCTGCTCCTTCAAGAATACCTCTCGGGGACACCGGTCAGTTCCATAATTTACGGCGGATTCTATGGAATGAGGGATCCGCGTCAAACAGAGGTGAGCACATACACGACGAGCCACGTGCAGTGCATTTCTTTCACCGAAGCGCGGAATTTGGTGTTGTTGTTAATGAACCAGGAAGGGGAATGGGAGGTAACAAAGCAGCAACAGTTGATTTCTTGCATAGAAATTGAGATAAAAGAAACCTTTTCATTCAGCATTAATAGCGAAGCATAATGAACTTTGCTTGAAACAATAAAAATG